GAGGAGACAGCCTTCTTTTGGCAGACTATATCTCAGTGTCACAAAGGCTCCTCAATGGGAATCTATTAAGAAGATTGATTAAAATTTTAATTTATACGAGTTGATCTTTTCCCTCCTCATCCAGTAGAGTCTCCCATTATGAATGTTACATAACTTTGATATGCTGATGTATGCCACTCTTCAGCTCAAAAGGAACTAGGGCCGCATATTTTTCATTAGCACAACTGGTATGTAAAAGTTGAGAGACAGTGACAAATTGCCCCCTCTTGCCGTGCAATAGAAATCATATTATCTGAATGATTATCTAGAACACTTTTGTGGTTAATTTGCTGTGTGTCCCACTAATGTCCCAGATCAACGTAACACAATGATAATAACTCTCCTGTTTTATATGTATATTAATATCTAATTACCCTGTCATTTGGGGGATCACTGGGTTTTTGCTACATGGCTCATTAGGCTCCGTGTTATTACAATGCTGATCTCCGAGTGTAGCTTTGCTCATTACATTGTACAAACATGGGATGACTGTTTGCTGTGAGATCATGGGACAACTGCAAAATTACACCAACATTCTGGCCTGTTCCACCCAAACCTGGTGGCAGGAGATACTCAAAACCAGCTAGCAAGGTGACAGACATGAGAATACAGACAACAGGCATAAAGTACGGGTGTGAAGGAATAGGAATTTCTGCCATTTCCTAATTGTTTTTGGGTGAGATTGTATATTGTGGGTTGCAAAACAATTGTTTCTTGGGGTTAATGGTTTTCTTGCTCAGGAAGATCAAAAGTTCACTGGAGGTTGTTTTGCACAGCAGGGTCAAAGGTTCAGCCTTTAGCCTACAACATCGCAGAACAGATGTGAAGCAGTTACAGCTATTTATCAATGAGAAAAAAGGGGCATGCTGCCCCCCTCTTCTCCCTGTGCACCTGCTGCACACACACACACACACACCAGTTCTGCTCCAGAGGTTTGGGGGAATGCCCAGAACAGATTTGGGGGTGTGGGGACACTCAGGGAGAGGAGAGAGAAAGGAGGTCCCACAACACAGGTCAAAGTCCTTGCACTAACAGGCCAACTTGGCTGGATACAACCCGATGCCTGAAAGACCAGGGCTTTAAGGTGACCTAGTGGGTTTATGAACCAAGGATGCACTACATCTACTTTCCTCTTGCCATTTGCCTCTGAAATAGGCTATGAAAGCTGCAGGCCAATAGGTAAAACCTAGGCAGAAAAGCTGGAAAGGGAAAGAGCGAGCAACTTCTACAGTAACAACTGGCAATGATTCCTTTTGTCATTTAACTGCCCAAGTGCCCTGCGCCTTTTCCTTCTCGACCTGCAAATTATTTCTGTTCATGACCCTAAATACTACCTCTTCTTCCCTTGACAGAGATGACCTACCAAGGGCTTCTTTTTCTAAAATAATAGGGTATCCTGACCTCCTTCACCCACTGGCACTTCCAAAGGCTGCGTCTCGTTCTCCAGTTCTCCTTAAACGTCACACAATGCAACATCAAAGTTCCTCCCCAGCTGTGCCAGCTATTGCTTTTCTGCCTTCAGATCCAAATCTACCCCCAGCTGCTTCCCCAACTTTTCAAGATTTTCTTTTTAAAAAAAATTTTTTTGAAGTGTAGCTACTTCTGTGTTCCTTTCCATAACCCACTTTCCAAAATTATTTGGGACTTAAGAGTCCGTTTGTACTAAATTCTCAAAGGCGTCCTCCATATTTTAATCCTTTGAGACTCCTCTGTCCCTCTACCTCAATGCTTTTTATGTCACACTTAGAACATAAATGATTATGCTTCAAAGTTCTTGTAACACCCCCCCCCAAAAAAAAAGTTCAACCATCAAGAAATGTTTGAATTGTCAGTTTGTTGACAGCCCCTCTCTACGGTGCCTTCTGATCATGGTTTTCCTATCAGATAGCAGTGGTGGTGTGTGTATTGCATTTATGGAAGTTTTCCGGCGGTGCAATGGACCCATCTTACAGATAGGTAAAGCTGAGTGGCTGCTACACAGAAATGGCACTGCAGAGCTCAAAGTATGAAAGAGGGAGAGACAAAAACTATCAAGAACCTTCTGCAACTGAACTATCACCTCTCTTTCCCACTGGGCCACTGTCAGGATGCTGTCAGTGGCTCCCAGATGGTTACCCAGGACGGTATAAAGACAAAGAAAAGTTTCTTACAGCCCTTTTTTATTTCAATATTACAGAGAGAAGCTGTAGAATCCAGCCTCTTGGATAATGGTGTTGTCCTGAGTAAATCTCCACCCCACCCCCATCTCTCCCATGTCCTCATTCGTCATTCTCATCATCTCCTCTACGGGTGCTGCTACATGTCCTGTCTTTGAGCTCTTTGCTCTCCTACTTTTAAGGCTCACCAGGTTCTGGGAGATGGAGGGTATGGAATGCTTTCTAATGACAATGTGTCAGCCAGCTGCTCTGGCTCTCCCATGATTTCCCAACTTCCCCCCTCATCTGCCTCTGAGCTGCGACCTCCCTCAAACCCCTGTTGTAAATCTATACTGTCTTCTTCTTCCTCCTCATTGGAAGGGTGAGGGCTTGGGAAGTGGTCTCCACCATTCCTCTTCTGCCCAGTCCCTGACAGTCACCTACCACCAACCAGTGGGAAGGATTCTAGAAGAGCAAAGCAGGCAGGCAGGCAGGCAAGGCATTAGATACCTGCTTCTCTTACAGTCCACTGCCCTACAGTCCACTGGGCTATCTGCCATCAGCTGCCCCATGGGAAGGATTTTGATGCCTATTTAGATGTCAATATTGGCTTCGAAGTCTATTTTAATGCAAGCTACACTGGAAGGATTTAGATCTTGAAAGGTGGAGAATAACTATTTGTTGTAGGGGGTAGATGTAGATACGAAATGTATATTATCAAAGCTCCATTGGTAGAGCAGGAGACACTTAATCTGAGGGTGATGAGTTTGAGTCCCATGTTGGGCAAAGATTCCTGCATTGCAAGAGGTTGAACTAAATGACTCTTGTGGTCCCTTCCAACTCTACAATTCTGTGATTCTGTTATCAATCCTTGCCGCCACAGCCACATGCCCTAAAGAAATGTCCAAACATGTCCAAACCAAGGCTTAGTTGAAACTTTGGCTCAGCCTTGGAACCTGATTCTGAATGTCAGGGTTGACCAACCTGAAGTAATATTAAAAAAGAGAGAACACCTGAACATGTGCAAAGTGAATTTTCCTCGCCAATGGGTAACGGCAAGTGCTTATTACAGTGGTATCTCGGGTTACATATGCTTCAGGCTACATACGCTTCAGGTTACATACTCCGCTAACCCAGAAATATTGCTTCAGGTTAAGAACTTTGCTTCAGGATGAGAACAGAAATTGTGCTCCGGCGGCGCAGCAGCAGCAGGAGGCCCCATTAGCTAAAGTGGTGCTTCAGGTTAAGAACAGTTTCAGGTTAAGAACGGACCTCCGGAACGAATTAAGTACTTAACCTGAGGTACCACTGTACGTATTTGAGACAGAGCTGGCAGGGAGATTGTCCTTAAAATAAATTATTACACATCAGGAGGGTTGGGAAAGTGAAAAGTAAGGTATTTGCCATTGGTTCAAACCGAGTAAAATGTAAAAGAGAATGGGATCCTTGAAAGGTGTGACTGCAGTCTCTGAAATTCACTTTCCTACCCAGAATTTAGAGGTTGCGTATTTCTCTGTAGTCTATGAACATTCACCAGTTATTTTCCATTTCTATTCAATGATGTTTCATTTCTGTATTTTTACATTGCCTGAGATTTCACTGTTGGATATACAGCAATATCTGATAAGCAACAAGCAATGGTATCATTATGCTGCAGTATTTGATAGATGACACAAGATAGTCTCATAGCATCTTAAAGACTAATAGATATATATTTTTGCATAAGATTTCACAGACTAAAGCCCATGTCATCAGATCAGTAATACTCTGTGTGACAGGTACATGTGTATAAAGGGGGAAAGCTTGGTGTTAAATGGCAATGAAACGTGAAAAGTGCAGCCTGTGACAATTCAATTAGAATTTAAATGCATGCAAACTCAGCATAGTGAGTCGTCACAAGAACAGTAAATTGTGATAATGCAATCATGCCTTTGCATTGCTGAGCAACTTAACTCCAGTAGTTATTTCAAATTCTAGTATCTAATATTGAAATAAAGTTGACATCTGAAGGTATTTCATAATTATGAAGATAAAATGCTTTATTTGCAATCTGAATGAACCAGGATTTTCAGCAGTGGTGTAAAAAATGCTCAACAATTTTGGTGGTTTCCTAAAGAAACTCAGCAATTTTGGGCTCTTCCTAAAAAAAACCCCACAACTTTTGGGGTGATGCATCAAATGCAGAACACATGCAGATGATCATGCGATTAGAAAGCTGACACTCTAAAAAGTCCTGCAAGCTGCCAAATTCAGCCTGATACAAGCTGCGATCTTTGTGTGTGAAAGCACCCGGGGCGTTTTGGTTTGGGTTTTTTTGCAAGCCCCAGTGGGAAAGAGAGAAAAAGACTGAAATGTCAGGGAAACAAATTAAGTTATAGCCAGGAAGACATAGATGTTTCTCCGAGATTTGTTTGTGGAAACTACTGCCATCTTGTGGAAAATGCCCATCATTACAGGCACCCTCATTGTCTCTTGAGAAATGATGGAAGAATTCATTTAATTCCTGCCGAGTACATTGCGTTCAGCTTTGAAAGGTGAGCAGTGAGGCTGATGTAATTCCTGGCAGGGTTGTACTGAGGGGCAAGGCTCAACAAACTCTTCACAGCAGAGCAATGATCTGAGAAAGAGCTACCCGTTTTGTCTTCTGCTCCCTTGGATCTGAAGGTGTTGTTGCACAAAACACTTGAAAAGCATGTAGGACAGGAGATTGTTATTCATTTGGGAAAGAGTGCAAAAGATAAAGCGTTCATATATATCATAGAATTGTGGAGTTGGAAGGGGTCACAAGGGTCATCTAGTCCAACCCCCTGCAATGGGGGAATATTTTGGCCAACGTGGGGCTCGAACCCACCATCCTGATATTAAGAGCTTCGTGCTCTACCGACTGAGCTATATTAGGCAATAAAGGTTTCAGAAAATGGCAGCACAAAACAGCTTTTTCCCCTTAAGCGGAGGGATGTAAGAAGGAATCGTTTCCCATCCCACCCTGTATGCCTCATCTGCGGCCCTGTTTCCATTTCGATGCAGTTCACCTTCCACCAAAAATGACATTATTTGCTCACCATCCACTGCGGTGAAATTACATGACTTACATAGCATGCATAATTAATTTTCAAAAATGATGTAGGCTACATACCTCTCCTGGTATGCCCCACAGAGGACCTTAAGGTCCATATATAGCAACACCCTAGAGGTCCTGGGCCCTAAGGAAGTTAGATTCACCTCAACCAGAGCCAGGGCCTTCTCAACACTGGCTCCGACCTGGTGGAACACTCTGTCTCATGAGACCAGGGCCCTGTGGGATCTGATTTCTTTCTGCAGGGCCTGTAACAAAGAGTTGTTCCACCTGGCCTTTGGCTTAGAATCAGTTTGATTCCCTCCCCCTCTTTCCTTTCTCCTCCTGTGAAGAGGCTGCATCCTAATGTTTTAACGTTGCATCTCAATCTTTTAAATTGTATTTTAATCAACTTGTTTTTATTATTGGTTGTTAGCCGCCCTGAGCCCGGTCTTGACTGGGGAGGGCGGGGTATAAATAAAAATTTATTATTATTATTATTGCCATTGCGTTGTTTCATCCCTTTCATTTCAACGCAAATAGGGGGCGAAGAAGGTCATCCATTGCGTAGCGTTTGTGGACTGAAAGCAACAACAACAATAGTGAATACCAATCGTATTTGCTGGATTGGATTATTTTCTGGATGTGAGATGAGTAAGCAAACACTGGCCGTTCCTGCTTCTTGACCTATCCCTTTAAATTCCACCACCTGAAGCAGCCTGCTTCTCCAGCTACACAGTACTATGCAAATCTACTGGAAAATCCATTTGTCTTCACATGTTCTGTTTCAACAAGAGAATTGGTGCTGTGGTGGTTTACTGCCCACAGAGATCTTTTCCCGCTCCAAACAACCAAAGTAGGGGCAGACCTGAAGGCAAGACTCAGAATCTGTTGAGACATATGGTTTGTACTTTCCAAGAAAACATAAGCCCTTGCCATCACCCACGCAAACAAGGAACGTCGCATAGCACTGCCAATTGTTCACACCAAGTACCCTCCTTAATATGAGCATATGAGCAGAGCTTATAAATTACGATTTTTAGAACAATAAGGATTTATGAGCTATACTTGCATATGGGAACCAGCAGGTAATAAAGGTGGATCAGTCCACCGGGACCTTATCTGGTCTTTTCTTTGGCCTATCTTGTGTCACTCATATAAAATATACCTATGGCTCTATGGGTTGCATCCAAATGAGTTCTCAGAAAGGTTTTTAATCCATGAGAGGCCTCCGCTAATGGAAACTGGGAGGTGATTTCTGCCAGTTCTTGTGCCAGCTGAAAATCTGCACTGGAGGATGGGAAGTTCAATAGAAAACAAGTGAGGTCCCAGCCGAAGAAGAATGGCAGCTTAAAACGATGGAATACGCACAGCTTGCAGATTTAACATATAGCATAAGAGCACAAGAAGGATATACGTTTAAAGAAGACTGGAAAATGTTTACTGATTATATGGGTGAAAATTGTGTACGTTTAAAAACGCTGGTAGCATTAAGATAAATTCAAGAGTGTAAACAAGTTTTGATAGTGCAATAATGGATTAATGAATGGTTTAGTTCATGTAAAATATGCAAGGATGTATGGTATGCAAAATGAGAAAAAGAGAAGAAGTGAAGTCATTGATTTAAGGTTGCCTAATTGAATATTTTGAAATGTTTATATATATATATATATATATATATATATATATATATATGAGAAGTTCCTTCCAAGTAGTGTGAGATACAGCCATTAGAAGCAACCATTATTAGATTTATACAAGTGGGAGTGTTCCTTGTTGAGGGTTCTAGACCAGGCATAGGCAAACTCGGCCCTCCAGATGTTTCGGGACTACAAATCCCATCATCCCTAGCTAACAGGACCAGTGGTCAGGGACGATGGGAATTGTAGTCTCAAAACATCTGGAGGGCCGAGTTTGCCTATGCCTCTTCTGGACACTCCGTTCCATTCACCCCTCCAGTTTTCTTTTCCACCTCACACAATAGCCAGGCAGAATTCTGTGGCCACTGAGCATGCTCAGGCCTCACAGACTCCTGGTGTTGAAAAGGTCACTGAGTCCAACCCTTGTTCCAGCATCCCTGATGGGTGGCCATTCAGCCTCTGCTTAAAAACCACTAGTGAAAGAACAGCCCACCACTTTCCAAGGCAAACTGCTCCATTGTAAAAAATTAAAAAAAAAAAAAAAAGCTCATGCCATCTGGGAGTTCTAACGTTCAGTCTTAATCCTTTTTCTTGCTGTTTGAAGCCACTGGGAGGTATCTGATTAACTCATTGTGCAAGGATGTATGCTCATGTATACATTCCCTCCACCTCCTCCATGCGCTCTTGCTCCCGCCATCTGTTCTGGGATGTTCTCCCCAACCCTGCAGAACAGATTTAGGAAGGGTATGGAGGGGCACGCACAGGAAGAGGATAGCGGGAAGTTCTATTGTACAAGGGTAAATATTTCTGCAGATTGAACAACTTACGTATCTCTACATTGGATACAGCCTCTGAAACAACCAGAAACAAATTTGCTCCATTATCCGCATGACAACCTTTCAAGACAATTCAGAAAATTCACACATATAGTTTTTAAAACCAATGGAACATGCATGCAGAAACAACAGCTGCTGTTATTCTGTACATGCACTTTTGATCTTTAACTCACAGATACATTCCCAAGAGTCGCTTTATGATTTGTCCTGCAACTGGCCTTGGAGATGGCTCTCTGTAGGTGTTCACAGGGTTAGGTTTGTGCTGAGGGAAGAAAAGATAAGAATCGGCAGATAGCTCAGGGTGACGTAAGAATTAGGAAATGAAGAATTAGGAAGTTAAGTTTATTTGGGAAACATCCCAGGGACCGCGGTACTCTACTGCTTTTAAAAGCCAAAGCAAGAAAGGTCACTTAATTCCTTTTGCTTCTCTCTTGGAGGCAGCTGGGTTGAGCCACCCACCTTTAGCAAATTATAAAGCCACTCCAGAGAACTTCTGCCTGGGTCTTATTTCATACCTTCCAACATTTAAATGAAAATAGGGATGTCTTCTTCTTCTTCTTCTTCTTCTTCTTCTTCTTCTTCTTCTTCTACACCACCCATCTGACTGGGTTTCCCCAGTGACTCTGGGCGGCTTCCAGCATATATAAAAACCGTAGCATTAAACATTTAAAAACTTTGCCATACAGGGTCTATTCAGGTGTCTTCTCAAGGTTGTATAGTTACTTATTTCCTTGGCTCAGCAGTTGCATAAGTCCATACCCTCCAACATTTCTCCGATGAAAACAGTGACATCCTAAAGAAAAACAGGACATTCCAGGGTCGAATAAAAAACTGGGACGGCTTCTGTAAATCTGGGATTGTCCTTGGAAAATATGGACACTTGGGAGGGTCTGGTACGCTACTCACAACTTATAAGGAAATCTCACCCAAAGGCTTGCAATATAATCAAGTTGTGTTGGACGTAGGTCTGAAAGCTTCATTGCTCATGAATATTAGAAAAGGGATTGAGTTTCACTGACTGCAGGAACCTTCTGAACGGCCAATAAATAATCAAGTCCATATAAAAATAACAGAGGGAGGGGGAGAGATTGAGTGAGACCAAGGAAGATGTAATTTCCTTAGGATGTAGCACCATCTATTGGACATGCTGACATGGTCATGATACAAGGCCTCGTTTCTCAGAAAGACATTTTGAGTAAAACGTGGAGAGCATTTCCCCATTATTACAAAATCTGTACAAGTTAGCAAACTCACCCTAATTTCAGACTTGAAGATTTTTTAAGAAAGTATATGAGCCACTCATACAATACAAGGTGGAGGAATTGTCAAACGCAGCGGAAGAAAACGTGATTTTTTAAAAAAATCATTGGTAGGAAGCAGAATAGGAGGCCGAAGAAGGCAAATTCCCCTGACTCCTCCAGACAGCCTTGGCCAAAAAAAGATGGCGGTCCCCATTGGCCAATATGGCCAAATTACAAAGGCAGGGCCACCAAGCTGCTGTGGGGAGCCAAGCCACTAACTGAAAACCCTCAACAATCTCACGTTTAAATGTAAGGCAACCTACCCAAAATTTCTTAGACCCCCCACGTTGCCCCAACTGTGATTCTGGAACAAAAGTCTGGGCGTTATTCAGCTCAATACTAGGAAGCAAATTTGTTAGGATGCCCACCGAAGTGTCTGTTAGGATATTTCCGTTCCACCTTAAAAGGGAGCAGGCTTTGTGAGTCAGAGTCTGCGTATTTCCTGTTCACAGGATGTTTATGTTTTCTGTTGCTTTCGTTTTCTCTCTGTGTCGTAGACACTAAAGCAGGCAGTCATGTTTTTCTGTGTTCTGATCAACGCTGAATAAACTTGTAAATAATGCTCTCCTGATTGCAACTTTTGGCTGTGCATTATCTGCTGATAGAGTGTGCATGAGCTCTGGAATGTGGCAAGATATTTTCTAGAAACTCATGTCGCTGCGTGCCTACGGGAGGTCGATGGATCGTCCGGCAGACGGCTTGGGGGCCTTGATGGACTTTATCTCCCTGGCAGTATCCCAACAGTGTCAGCTTGCTGGGCATTTTATTCCATCAGTACCCCCACGCCCCAGGAATTTTTGTACATTTATGCCGGTAGCAGAAACAGAAGGTTTATTGAGAACTTGGTGGATTGCTGTACTTGGCTTGTATGCAGGATTAGGCATGTTAGCTCACCAGTAATGCAGGCTTTAGAGGTGGCATGGCATGCAGGAAGTCGTGTGTAAAATTGCCACTGACTCTGGAAGATACAGGGTGTGTTTATACGTTTCTGATATTTTTACAGCAAATCTTTCTCCAATCACCAATTGGTGTGGTCAGGCAGATGGAGACTACCAAATGTAGCTGTTC